ATTGAATCCAGGACGTGGGAGGTTGAAAGGCGATGCTTGCAATTGATTTTATCTTTTCTTTCCCTCAGTCTGATTGGACTGAGTTGCGGTTGTAGGCCAGGTGCTGAGTTAGGCACAGGGTGCATCCGTTAGCATTTGTTGGGTACTTACTTTTGGCAGTACTCAAGTTTGAACTCAGGGCCTTTTGCTTGCTAGGCAGGTGCTCTACCACTTGAGCCACACTCCCGGCCCTTTTTGTTATTTTTCAGGTAGGGCTTGAGTTTTTTGTCCAGGCTGGCCTGATCTGAATCCTCCCTTACGCTTCTGTAGCTGGGATGACAGACACACACTTCCATGCCTAGTTTATTGGTTCTGCTAACTTTTTACTCTGGCTGCCCTTCAACCTTGATCCTCCCAACCTCTGCCTCTGGAGTAGCTGATATCACAGGTGTGAGGCATTGCGCCTTGCTTTATTAACTTATTTAATCTCCATAATAATCCTGTGAGGTAGGTATTATAATTATTTTTTGTGGCACTAGGATTTGAACTCAGGGCCTTGCTAAAGTAGAGTGCCTACTCTACCACTGAAGTCATTTCCCCAGCCCTAAATTATCATCATTCTAATGAGGAAACAGAAGTATTGAGAGTACTGGTAACTTGTTCAAAATCTCAGAGATAGGAAGTGAAAAACTTTTTTTGGTTGAACTGGGCTTTGAACTCAGAGCTTTGTGCAAAGCAGGTTGCTCTACTACTTGAACCATACTTCCACTCCATTTTGCTCTGGTTATTTTGGAGATGGGGGTCTAGAGAACTATTTGCCCAGGCTGGCCTCAAACTTTGATCCTCCTGATTTCAGCCTCCCAAGTAGCTAGGATTTCAAGCATGAGCCATCAGCACCCTTTTAGGTTTTTTTTTTTTGTCCTGCTGAGGATGGAGGCTGGGGCCTTGAATGTGCTAGGCAAGTACCATTGAACTCCACCCCCAGCCCTGGAAGGGAAATATTTTACTCAAGTAAAAATACATAAGACAAGGTTCCTTGTGCCCCAAGAATGTCGCAGTATCCCAAGGAAGAAGGAGACGTTGATATGAAGTGTTAACAGCTATTAAATGTTTATTACTAAATGCTTTATGTGAATTATCTTACTTAATCCTCAGTGACTTCCTGAGTTAGGTGCTGTTTTAGTCCCCAGAACAGTAAGGGGGGAAGTACATGAGTTCAGGACTTTCCCTGAGCTGGGAACCAGGCAGTTGGTTAGGGAAGCCCATACAGGGACCTCAATGTGTACTCCTGCTCCCTTGTGGGCCATCCACTATCCAGACCAATGCTGCAGTTGGTTAGAGGTAGGAAGGATAACTGTCCTTTGCGTGGTGCAAGAATGCTTTCTTGGAGCTGGGGGATATTTAAGGTGGGCTTTGAAGGATATTTAGGAGCTCACCTTTTCCCACATCTACTTAGCATACAGTGTATTGAAGAGGAGTATAGGCTCCACCATCTTCCCAGCTGAATGACTGGTGGTAAATTGTTCTCTGATCCTAAGTTTTCTCATCTGTAAAGTGAAGACAATGTAAACTATGCTGTGAAACACCACGTTGAAGAAATAGGACTGGCCGGGCGCCCATGGCTCATGCCTGTAATCCTAGCTACTCAGGAGGCAAAGATCAGGAGAATAGAGGTTCGAAGCCAGGCCAGGCAAATTGTTCGCAAGAGCCTATCTTGAAAAAAACCCATCACAAAAAAGTGTTGGTGGAGTGGCTCAAGGTGTATGCCCTGAGTTCAAGCCCCAGTACTGCAAAAAAAGAAAAAAGAAATAGGAGGAGATATGAAAGCCCCCAGCACAGTGTCTGCCACGCATTGTGGGAACTTGGCAATGGGCAGAGACTGTGGACAAATGGTGCATTTAAGGCTGACGAGGGCATGTCCCACGCATGCCAGGCACTGTTCCAGGTGTGTGCAGGGATCAAATCCATGGTCTTGCATGTGCTCAGCAACTGCTCTTCCCCCAGCCCAAAAGGTACTAATTTTAGACCCATTTTACAGATTAAAATTGGAGCCCACAGAGATTAAATAAAGTATTCTGAGCTGGTAAGTGACAAAAGCAGGATTGGAGCACAGGCAGGTAGGGTCCAGGGTCTATGTACATAGCTCCTCTCTCTTCGGGTTGAGACAGCCCCAGAGTCAGAGGAGGGGGAAGGGAAGTGTGTCCCCAGGGCAGCCTTGCTGGAGGCATCATCGCTTTGGGAAACCTGACCCCGTGTGATGCGGTTGCCATAAAGAAACACAAACCACCTGGCTTCTCAGACCTGCAGAACAGGACCCCCCAAATGGTGCGAAGGGACACAAGATGATACAGTCGGAACGTGGACCAATCATTCATTTTGTTTGTTTGAATTGATAAGCTGTTCTACAAGGCTGGATCACAGCCATGGACAAAACCCAACACAAATCTCTGCCCTGCAGGGTAAGAGCAAGGATAAAGGCCTGAGGCCACAGCGTGCGTGGCCTAGTCGAGGAACAGCAAGAAGGCAGGTGTGGCCAGGGTGGGGAGGTCAGAGAGATGTGTGGAGGCCACACCTCCACCCATCTTCAGGATTTCTGTGTGTGTTATAAAGGCACCTGGAATGCTAGGTGCTATGGAACCTCCCTGAATAAATATTCTTTTTCTCCCCTGCCTGGCCAGCTCTCCCCACCCAGGTGAGCCACTGGGTGGACCTCAGAAAACCCTAGGTGTGACCAGGTTTCTAAGCACAGCCTTGGGGTCTAAACCTCCCCCTGGAGGATTCCTGGTGGGCAGAGGCAGTTAGCTCTGAGGAAATACCACCTTGTGGCTCTGTGGAGGAGACCCCAGGGCTTCCACCCAGCTAAGATCAGTGTTTAGTGATTGAAGCTCAGTTGGGCCCCTCCTTCCATACCTGGTCATCTCTGTATCCTGGTGCTGTGAGCCAGCCTGGGGCCCCACATAGACACACATGGCTGATGTCATTTGATAAGCCCTCAGGTACACGGTTGGATCATTTTCTGTTTGGCTTCGCTTTGAGCTGATTAACCATTTTGGTTCCTTTTTAGGAGTGGGGGCGGGGGGGGGGGGCGGGGAGCCTGAATTCAGTTCATGATTCCATGAAAAAATGAACATGGAGGAGTGGAGAGTAGGGGAAAGGTGGCCCAAATAATGTATACACATGTAAGTAAATGTAAAAATGACAAAATAAAAAAATATATATTTTGAATCTTTTAAAAAAAAGAACAAGGGGCTCAGTCCAGAGTCCAGGCAGTCACTTCAGTTTTTTTTTTTTCAGTACTTGGGCTTGAAACTCCACCAGCCCTATTTTTGTGAAGGGTGTTTTGAGATAGGGTCTTGAGGAACTATTTGCCGGGGCCAGCTTCGAACTGTGATCCTCCAGATTCCTGTCTTCTGAGTAGCTAGGATTACAGGCATGAGCAACCAGCAATTGACTGTTTTTGTTCCAAATCTCCATCTGAGAGGTGGCATCCTGGTATTTATTACTTTTCACCAAACAAGCTGGTCACCGAGGGAGTTGAATATGATGCCATCCCAGCCTGCAGGGATGGGTAGGACTGCAGAAGACAGTGCAGATAACAGTCATCACTAATAGCACAGCACAGAGTAAGGCCAAGTACCAGTAACTAGCTCCCACCCTTCCTTTCTAAATAATGAAATGAGGCCTGGGGTTTTTGGGAGTGGACTCCACAGTGTGTTCCTAATTGTTGGGATGCTTTGTACCTCTAACAGTGTCCCTGCATTACAAGAACTCGCTTTGGGTCAGCAGAGGAAAAGGTTGTAGGTTTCACTGTATTTTCGTGCATATATTCAATTTGTTCAAACATAGTATATTTTCTATGCACTAAGGATGTGGAGACAAATTCCCCCCCTTCCATATTTGGCCCCTCTGGAACTCACTAATAACCTAACTCAGAAATTGAGGCAAAATGGCCATGAGTCAATAATTAGGAAAAGGTAGAAGGTAGAACGCCTCCGGCATTCAACAGCATTAAGCCAGGCCCGGGGTGCCGCCCACTGCCTTCTTCAAAGCCCTCCTCCAGTCTTTGGACCTTTGATTTCTGCCCTCAAGCCTCTAAGAACAGTTTGTCCTGTTTGAGGACCACCTCTGCAGAATTGTCCCCGTGCTTGTTATGAATTCCTCTCTTCCACGGGGAATCTGAGAACCAGACAAAGGAGGGCCAGGCAGCATCCAGATGGCCCACAGGGGAAACAACAGGACAACGGTTGGGGAGTTCGGAGTGGCCATCAGGCACGGGGGGGGGGGGATGCGGTTCCAGACTCTGGGAGAGAGGGATCCCGATCCGCGTTCACCTCAGGGTCTACCTCAGAGCCTGGAACCCCGTAGGGTGTCATAAAGTATTTGTGAACATGCGGGTTCCCGTACAGAAGCGACCGACAGTCAAAAGGAGCCACAAAGAGGAAGAAGAAAAAGTCACTTCTAAGGAAGCAAAAACTTTCGGAAAAGTTTTCTCGTAAAAGGCAGCCTCACCTAACAGAGGGAGCTGGGGAGATGGCCCCTGCGGGGAAAGAGCACTGAGTCTAGGGGCTGCAGCCGGTGGGGGGAGAAGGCTGCAGGCGCCTCCTCGCCTCTCCAGGCGGGCGGAGGCATGAGGTCACCTGGCACACAACCAGCAACAGCTGCGGAGGACACGCCGGCACTGCGGAGAGAGGCGGTGTCAGGCTCCGGCCCCCGGGGGAATTTCCTTTCGCCCCTTCGGGAGGCGTGGCTCGTAGGCCTGCCCACCGCTCTTCGTACCGACCCGCCAAGACCACACCCCCGACCCTAGGCCACGCCCCTCACCCCCCCCAGACTCTCGAGCGGCCCCTCCACCACCCCCGCCGCAGGCCACGCCCCCAGGAACTCGGGCCAGCCCATTTCCCCCGAAGAGTCCCGCGGTGTCGGGCCTTGGCCCCGCCCCTAGACGAAGCCCCGCCCCCAGGCAGCCCCGCCCCTCAGGCAACCCCGCCCCGCAGTTTGAAGCGGTAGAAGCTGCTGCCGCCTCCGAGTCGCGCGCGAGGCGTGGGGCGGTGCTGGAGAGCTGAGGCCGCGGCCAGCTCGACGCTTGGACTGTCCAGCGAGCGCAGCGCAGCGTAGCGGGAGCCGCCGGCAGCTAGAGCAGCCCCGGAGCAGAAGCAGAAGCAGAAGCAGAAGCAGCAGCCGCGTCGCCGTCCGCGGAGCCAGCCAAACCGGCCATGGCGTTGTCGATGCCGCTGAACGGGCTGAAGGAGGACAAAGAGCCCCTCATCGAGCTCTTCGTCAAGGTGAGCGCTCGCCGCCGTCCCGCGTGCTGAGCCCCGGCGCCCGCCCGGCCGCGGGGGGCGGTGTCCCTCCGAAGCGCCCCCGAGGGCAGAGGGAGCGTTGCGGGCTCCCGCGTCCCCCGACCCCATTGTCTCGGGGCCACCCGCGCCTTCCCGCCTCCCCGGGCCCGTCGCGGGGAGCTGGGGCGGGGACCGGTCGCGGAAAGCCCCAGAACGGGCGGCGGACGGCGGCGGACGCCACAGCGGCGTCCCGGGTCTCGGCGAGTCGGGACGAGCCTCCCCGCCCCGGTCCCCAAGCCTAGCGGCGTGGCTCCTGTCACCTCCCCCGCCGGGAGCCCCATGCCCCGAGCCACTGGTCAGATGAGAACCCCAACTTGTCTGAACGCTTTTGCAGGGAACACTGGCGCCCCGCCGGTATGAAACTGAAACTTTTAATTTAAGATGCAATCTCCCCCCCCAAAAAATGTGCAAAATAACAATAGTGATAATAATCATAATTTTAAAAAAGGCAGGTGCTCCAGGTAGGGCTCCGGAGAAGACCGAGATTCCCAAGTTGGGTTTTCCTGTCTTAGGTATTTTACCACCATCTGGTTTTCTTGTTTCTCGAGCGCCCAGGGTTTCGTATGATGCAACGTTTTTGGCTACTCCCCGGGGTTGCTGCCCTTTTGTTTTGAAAGAACAAATTGATGAGAACGAATTTAAAGGGTTGACTTTGTTCCCTCCTCTGTTGTTTCTTCGACTTTTATATCCTGGAACTAACCTTATTTGCTTTCAGATACGATCCGTGTCCTCTTTTCCCGTTTTCTCTAGTATTTTTCAGAGTAGCAAAGGAGAGAGAAAAGTTGTAAACATCTGGATCAAGCTGCTCTTCCTAAAACCGGAGTCTTTGAGATGTTCTCAGCCATTTGCTTAAGAAGCCAGGCTCATTCAGAGTGAAAGTTAACAGGAATCTAGAACTGTTCTGGTTCTTTTCTTCCTGAGTTTTTATTTTAAAGAGCGGAAGACGTGGAAGGGTGTGTTTAAGAGATGGAGAGAAGAAATGACCTGCCAGTTGATCGAATCAGTGTTTTTCTTCCGATTTTCTTTCAGCAATCAGTTTTAGAAACGTTTTGACAGAAGGGCGTAGAACTCCCCGAATACTACGGAGTCGAAGCCACTTTTTGGGTGGCAGGTACAGTACTTGGAGATGAAGAGAATATAGGAAGGAACGCGAAATAAGAAAGGAAGAGAGGGGCGTGGAAGCAGCAGAGAAAGGAAAAAGGGTGGGTCAGATTTTTACGAAGCTAGGAGTAAGAATTTCCATATTTCAAAAGAAGTGTATTATACTAAGTGCCTAAGAAAACGTAATAATGCTGAAACGTTAGGAGCATTTTAAACTCATTGGATGAGAATACAACAGCTATGGCTTCTAATTTAGTATTGCTGTGCTTGAGCCAATACGATAAGACCAAAAAAAAAAAGTTTAGGAATTAGAAAGGAACTGGAGGTATGGCTCAAATGGTGGAGTACCTGCTTCCTAAATTCGGAACCCTGAGTAAACCCCAGTCTCACCAAAAAAAAAAAAAAAAAAAAAAAATTAGAAAGGAGTACAGGGTGTGGCTCAAGCTGGAGACCCTGAGTTCAAACTCCAGTACTCCCCCAACCCCCCAAAAAAAGCATTAGAATGGAGGGTTGGGGGGTGTGTGGCTCAAGTGATAGAGAGCTTGCCTAGCATTGAGAAGGCCCTGGGTTCCCCTTCAAAAGGGGAAAAAAAAAAAAAAAGGCTGGAATTTAGTGGCAGAGCACTTGCCTAGCATAAGCAAGGCCCTGGTTTTTATCCCCAGCAACACACACACACACACACACACACTAAATAAAATGAAAATGAGAAAGGACATGATGCTTACTGTTGATAACTTCCATTAGAAGGAGATGGGTGTGGTGCACTGTTTCCCAAAGTTGAGTCACTTGCATACCCCTTCCTAGTCTTTCATACTTGGGTTGTGAACCACCTGAAGTCATCCTGCTTATCACTAGTTGTGAGTCTTTCTCATTGGGCTTGGAGGATCAGAAGTCAAGTCGTAGTTCTGTGCTCATTTGATTGATTATTCTGGGTAATTTATTTTCCCTCTCCTTATTTTTATTTGTGAAATGAGAAGTGAAATGGTTTTTACTGGCCTATGATTCAACCTAGACCAACTTTGCACTGACACAAATCAGTGTTAGTTACGACTTTTTAAAAAATTTATTATTATTGTTGTACTGGGGGCACAAGAGTCATGTATTTGAAAGGGAAAAATTGGGCACGTAAAATGTAAAGGGTTTTTTTTTTTTTTTTTTTTGTGGTTCTGGAGTTTGAACTCGGGGCTCATGCTTGCTGGGCAGGCCCTCTTACTGCTTGAGCCATTCCACCGGCCCAGGGATATTCTTGATTTCATCTCAAAATGAAATGCAAATGGGGGAAAAATACCCTTGTAAAAAATAGTTATTTTGAAAGTAATGACAGACAGAGGCTGTGGTTATCCAGAGTGGTGTATATTAATTATATTGCCCAGAGTATCTGTTTTTGTAGCAGAAAACTAGTTTTTTAAATGGGAAATGAAACTACAAGATTTATTATATACCTAAGGTTTAGGAGTGTTAGAAGCACATAATACGTGTAGAAATTAGAAATTTGATGGTGATGGCTGTGATGAGCCTGTTTAGGGCTGAGATTTATATTTAAGAGAAATTGACTAGGTCCTTCTGTAGTAGTGTGAGTGGACTCGGCTTTATTTCCTTTAGTTTTTGAAGTTGTCTGCTCATGAACCGAGTAAATCCCAATCCCCTGCTTGTGGGTTTTTTTTGTGTGTGTGAGACTGGGGTTTAAACTCTGCGCTTTGAGCTTACAAAGTAGGTGCTCTATTTTGCTCTTATTTTTTCATTTCTTTTGTTTTGTCAATCCTGGGATTTGAACTAGGGCTTCATGCTTGCTAGGCAGGTACTGTGCCATCTTGAGCCACTCCACCAACCCCTTGCTCTGGTTATTTTGGAGATGCGGTCTCACGAAGTATTTGCCCCAGGGCTGGCTTGGAACTGTGATCTTCCCTCCCAATCTCAGCCTCCCAAGTAGCTAGGATTACAGGTGTGAGCCATTGGTGGCTTGTCTGTTATTTATTTATTTATTTATTTGTCACCTCCCCCAACACCAAGAGGGTCAGAATAGTTTGATTCCCTGCAGTTTGACTTTTTTTTTTTTTTTTTGAGACAGTCTTGCTGTGTTGCCTAGGCTGGCCCGCAAACTCCTGGGCTCAAGCAGCAGTCTTCCTGCCTCAACCTCAAGTAGCGAGGACTATAGGTATGCATCACAGTGCTGGGTTCACCCTCCTAACAGTGAATGGGGGCTTACAATAGCAGTCATCCTCAACAGTGGAGAAGTCTTCTCCCAACTTTGGGTCTAGTAGGTGTACATATTTCTAGTTGAGAGCCACCAACCAGTAGGGTAAAGGTCAGACCTTTTAGCAATGGCATAAGGCCCCTTATAATCACCACGGTCTAGGCTTCTAATCTAGTGTGTCCAGTTACTAATCATGGAATCCAAGGCACATTACTTAAACCTCTCTGTGCCATGTAGGAACCGTTGGGATATTAATAGATTAACCTTATGGGAGTAAATTAATTAATATACATAGTATGCAATAATCTTGGGACAGTGTCTCGTACACAGGAAGCAAATGAATGCTAACTGGCATTTTTGTGTATAAATATTTATAGCAGCTCTCCCCTAGTAAGTAGAGAAGAAGTTTCTTGAGGGTATGTATTCCTATGTATTCCAGCACCTGAAATTTAAGAGGTTTGAAGGAGATTGCTTCTTCTTCTTTTTCAAGCATTTTGTCAGTGTTTATCTATTCTTTGGAATTGGAAACCATTTGCTTAGATCCTTATGTACTCAGTCACAAACCTTGGTCTTTTGTCTGCTTTTTCTAGCTTCCAGTCTTTTAAGACCCTTGTGATTTTATCTACCTACCTCTTTTCCATTATGTAGTTCTTCTGGTGTTTTCTGCCTGTTTTCCGTTATTGTTTCTTCTTGGCTATGTCCTTAATTTGGGACATAGGTATTAACTCGAGAGAGGTTAGGAAGGGACTGAATTTTTGAGTATTTCTTTTGCTTGTATGAGTCCAGCTCTTATTGACACTGATACCTCTCCATTCCCACTGGTAGCTTTGGTATGATGTGCTGCTATGTCTCATCTTAATTTAGAAAGTAATCCCTTTGCAGAGTTTAGTTTTATGGGTTGGAATTTAAATTCGATGTACCATTATGAATTGGGACATCATTGTTTGCAGTAGTCACTAAACTTCTGAGATTAGGGTGGTGATTATTATTATTGTTATTACTATTTTTTTTTTTTTTGCGGTACTGGTGTTTGAACTCAGGGCCTACACCTTGAGCCACTCCACAAGCTCTTTTTTGTGATGGGTTTTTTTTTGAGATAAAGTTTCCCAAACTCTTTTCCCCCAGGCTGGTTTTCAACCTCAGTCCTCTTGATCTCTGTCTCCTGAGTAGCTAGGATTACAGGAGTGATTCTAAGTAGTTAATTTGCTGAAGGGTGGAATGGTACAAAAGAGTAAGTTTCTTCTTAGGTATTTGGAAGGGGTTTCTAATGAGCACCTGGACCCTGGAGCTAGACTGCTTGGTTTGAGTCAGGAGAGATCCTTAAGCGCTCAGTGCTTCAGTTTCTGTACCTCTAATATTAGGATAAAGTAATAATAATATCAGTTTATAGGGCTGCTGAGGGTTAACTGGTCATCTGTGTAGACTAATTAGGGCAGTCCAAGCTATTGTCATACATAATACCTCCTCCCCAAACAGTGGTTCAAACAAGATGGAAATTTTATTTCTTTCTTTGTTGTTTGGGTTTTTTTTTTTTTTGGTGGGACTGGGGTTTGACACTCAGGGCTCTGCACTTGCAAAAGCAGGTGTTCTAGTTGGAGTGGCTTTCTTCCTTAGAGCCATTTAGTGACCAAGGCTCTTCCAGCTTATT